AATTTACCCTTATATATGACAATATCAATAGTGATTAGCTGAATTTGGAGATTATAGTTGATTCTGCTTAAAAAACATATTTCTCTTCTGTATTTTCTAAAATTTTGTGATGACCATGTATTCTGTTATTATAAGAAAAACAAAATCAGTTTTACTTCAAATTCATCAAGATTATCTTGGATGTTGTTGTTGTTAAGTGCCATCGAGTCGGTTCCGACCCATAGCAACCCTGTACAGGGTTTCCGAGGGTGTAAATCTTTACGGGAGTAGAAAGCCTGACCTAATCAAGCAAACTCTTTAAATTCAGAGCTTGCTCTAGTTGTTCTTGGTGGAAGAATGAAATAGTTGTGTTGTGAATTACCGATGAAGAGGGCCAGTTTCTGGATGCTGAGGGAAGTCCCTAGCTGACAGCAAGTAAAGAAATGAGACCTTGGTTGTGCAAATAAACAGCCAGGTTAAATATTTTCTGCTAACAGCAGAAGTGGTGACCAATAAATGAATATTTGTTGTTGTTGTTGTTAAGTGCCAGCGAGTAGATTCCAACCCATAGCAACCCTGTATAGGGTTTCCAAGGAGCAGTTGGTGAGCTTGAACCACAGACCTTGTGGTTCAAATGACTTTGCAGTCTGATTCATTAGCCCACAGCACCACACCAGGAATTGTAGAAAAATAAGGAAATGAAATTTTGATGTATATAAATTGTGATGATGTTTTCAATCTTTTTTCTGCTTCAGGTAAACCTTTTGTTTTTTTTTTGTTTTTATCAGCAACACTGTCACTTTACAATTTACATTGGCTTAAACCCATAAAGCTATCTTGGTCTCTTTACCATTCAAGCTACAAGTCATCTCTGACCATATTGTATAGTGTGTGTGGGTAGAGATGTAGGGTTATAACTTAACTCTGAAGGCATTTTATGTACTTGACCAGATGTGAATGTATGAATAAGGAGGAAAAGTTTGCTCTCTCTTTTTTTTTTTTTTTCCAAAAGCTTCCTGAACACCAAATAGTGGTTAAAAAAAAAAAAAAAATCCCCAGTATTCAGTGAATTATTTTAAATGTCAATATCTTGGAAACATAGGATTACTTTTCCCTTAAATCACCCATGTAAAGAAAATGATGCTTTGCTAAAATGAACATGGTTTATTATTGATTCCATGACATTTGGAAAGTGACAGAAGGAGCCATCGCCTGTTCAAATATTATAGCATCAGCACATTAACTTAGTGATCAAATGCAATATGTAGCTCACACAAATTATGGTAAACTGGACAGTAGGCTTCGGACAACGCAGCCCTCGTGGTCGACAGGTTCCCCATATCAAATGGTCCTCTTTGTTGACGGAGCTGTGGTTGTTATTTATGATGTGCATGGTGACTCCACAGCTCTGTAACTTCTGTGGTAGCGTCTTTTAGAACCTCTGTCTCGCTCACAGCAGACCCCGCTTCTGTGAGAATTGGACAAATTTTCATTTAAAAGGGAACTTTGGAATTAGTGCCATGTTCCCTGACACAGCTAGTGATCAGAAGTCATGGTTTTGAAGAAAAGTACTATTTTCAGATATTATGTATTGTCTCCAGAAACAATTACTAGGTATCAGAATTTCTGACAAGATTTTTTTATTTTTGGACCTATAAACCAGGATTCTATTTGGAGGTCTGCTCATTGAGCAATCGCTACTGAGTTCTAAGATGTTTCTTGTCCCTTTTAATAAGCTTTCAATATAATATGAACATCAAAGTTGTCATCCTACTCCCTACTTTCCTCAAAAAAAAAAAAAAAAAAAAAAAAAGATAAATTGAAGAGGAGGAAGGCGTGTGAGAACTCTCAGACTTGCAAATAGTACCCAATTGACCTAGCTTTGATGGCTTGCTGACCAGAACTCTATCAGGTGAAGATAAAGAAGTTTGATACAGAGAGCAAGTATAAATGGCTACACTTTGATGAACTGGATCTTTGCTTATGGATGAAGTTGCCCAAAATTCCCACAAAAAGAGAAGAATTCTTCATATCAAGGATCAAGCTTGCCTCCTCAGTACACTGAGTTGATAGGGACCGGCAACTTTGACTTCGGCTATCAAAATTGGGGGACTATAAATGCACTAAGTGGCTGACTTACAAGCTTTCATGAGAGAGTTTAGTGTCAGAATGAGTGGGGTAAGATAAAATCCCCACTGAATAGTGTTCCTCTAGTCCAGATGGATCTGGTGATGATGGAGATAGGATTTTGTGATTCAATTGTGAGTAGCTGTTATCAGGACAGATGGTGATTGTCACAATCAGAAATGTAGAAGAGGTGTAACTAAAAAGGGGAGCAGTTAATCTGTCATTTCAGGAATAGAGGACCCTAAGGCCATCAGGAAGGAAGAGCAGAAGAGGAGAGAGGGATCCTAACCAGAAAGGCAGAGACAACAGAGATGGTGGCAGAACCGATGACATAGAGAGGCAGAGCAGCAGAGGACTGGGCAGACTATGGGCTGAGAAAGGCAGTGTGTCTGTGGGCAAGAGGACATTTAAATGAATGTATATTTTCAAGCTGTTTTACGTACATCAAAAAAAAAAAAAAAGGTAATAGAGGAAAATACTGTTAGCTGAAGGTTGTTGTTGTTGTTATGTGCCGTGGAGTCAGTTCCGACTCATAGCAACCCTATACAGGGTTTTCGAGGCTGTAATCTTTACTGGAGCAAAAGTCTCATCTTTATCCCACGGAGCAGCTGGTAGTTTTGAACTGCTGACCTTAGCTGATGGTACATGGAGGGAATTGTAATCATTGCGATGATTTGTTGAATGTAGAACTGATGATCCATCCTGTAAACCTTCACTCAATTCACAATAAAATCTTAAAATCAATCAATCAAAGATTTGTATCTCAGTAAATATTCAAATTTTCCAGATGACTGCCCCATTTTCTCTAAGTCTGGACATCATGAGAGAAAGAAGAGAGCTAAAAAATTTTAGGTCAATCCAAACACCTCTAAAAACATGTACTGCATATTACAAACTCTATATTGTTGTTGTTAAGTGCCATTGAGTTTGAATCATGACCTTGGAATTCAAATGGACCTTGTTGTCCAGAACTTGTTTTACAGTGCCACAATTACTGACCTCTATGCCTATAGCCAAATACTTCTAATCCCTCTTAAGAATGAATTTTCTCTTCTGTTAATGAGGGAGGACTAGTGTAGGCACATCTGGAGCCAAGCTCTTACAAAAGATAAAAGAGCAGATTAGGCAAGCTGAAACTGGGGAAAGATTGATGTCAAGAAACCAGAAAACAAGCTGAAGAGACAAGGAGCTTCCCCCAGAGCCAGAGAAAAAACTTTCTCCTAGAGTCAGCACCCTAAATTTAGACTTTTAGCCATCTAAATTTTGAGAAAATAAATTTCTGTTTGTTAAAGTCATCTACTTGTGGTATTCTGTTATAGCAGCAGTAACTAACTAAGGCACACCATACATTTGCATAACTAACTCACATCCTGGTGTGATATTGTACGATAAGTACTAAACTGGTAACCAAGAGGTTGGCAATTCAAACCAACCAGTCACTCTCAGAACCTTATAGAGGGTCACTATGAGTCAGGACCAATAAAGTGCTATACAACAAAAACAATAGCTCAATTCTCATAGTATCCTACTGAGACGGGTATTATTAGCCTGTTTGACCAATAAGGACACAGAAGCACAGGGAGGGTGAAGTAGCTTGCTCATTGTTTCCCAATCAGTAAGAAAAGGAGGCAAAGGAGTAGGAAAATGGGAACAGGCAAACCAGGGCTTTGAACTGATTTTCCCTGGATCAGTCATGGCTCACAAAGCAAAACTGGAATGGACTTGAATTTCTAAACTGTGGGTCAGCCAAACAATTACCAGAATGAAAAAGTTATGTGTCAATATTCTGCTAGAAAGTTAATCTTGCCCTTAGGAAATAAAGGCAATGTGTACATTGCCCAGCAATGATATCTCTTTAATGGCTGAGTTGGAAAGAATGTTGAACTGCTCAAAGATGGCTGCCGATCACACCGCTTTGAGTGTGTCTGACTCTCCTCAGCGCAGTTTCCCACATCAGAGTCCTGAGAGTCATCACACCTTTTCCAAATGTCACCTTTCAGGGTTTCAACCTAGAATTATTTCTGCTCCAGTTACCATTCCACTATTTAAAAAATTCAGGTCTGTTCTGATTTTACTAGGTCATCCATGACTGAACCAGTTTGAACCAGTTCAAACCCAGTTGTGTCTGTCTGAAGTCCTTCTACTGAGGTCCTTCTACTGATAGTCTCTACTTTCTAGAGTCCTCCTAAAAAGGCGTAAGAATTGTTGGCTCTTGCAGTTGCATATCTAACGGAAATATATTCCAACAATAGATGAGGTTAAAGACTTTCATGATCAATTCAAACTAGCAATTGTATAATATACTTATACACACAAATGGATGGATAGGTCAAGTGGCAGCATCGATGGACTCAAGCGTGGCAACAATAGTGAGGCTGGCCCCGGATTGGGCAGTGTTTCGTTCTGCTGTGCATAAGGTCGCTATGGGTCGGTACCGACTCGATGGCACCTAACAACAACAACAATAATACACATATGGAGTCCTGGTGTGGCGCTGTGGGCTAATGCATCATACTGCAAAGTCGTTTGAACTGCAAGATAGGTGGTTCAAGCTCATCAGCTGCTCCTTGGAAACCCTATACTGGGTCGCTATGGGTCAGAATTGACTCGAAGGCAGTTTATAACAACAACATACACATATATGTGTACATAGTTTCAATGCTTGCAATAAGACAATTTTTTCTTATGTTATTGGTGCCTCTTGGAATCATAGAACTATTGATGTAAGACTAATTAAATAGGTGATTCATTATGCAAACAAAATATTGGATCCCAGTGTTTAGTCAACATAAAGAAATGTAAAATATTTACGTACCTAAACAGTAATACTTGCTGGAATTGTTGATGGTAGGCTGGTCTTTGTAGATCGAAGAAGCTGAGGAATGAAGCGGCAGAAGGAGGAACAGAGGAGCCACCAAAATGGTTTTCCAGTGGAACTTCATCGCAGAGTTTTGAACCAGAGGAGGCCACACTTCCTAGTGAAGGAATGCTGAAGCTGAGAGCAGACAATTGGTTGGTATTTCTTCCCGTCTCATATAAATATGTTTCAGTGAGTGTGAAAAGAAAAAAGACACACACAAACACACAGACCCTACTCTTTACTATTTCAGGACCTTAAGAGAGGGCCACACAGGCAGATAGGAGGCGAGGGAGGCAATGGTTTGCAGTTCTTCTAAGTTAAATTTGCCAGCAAAGGGGGAAAACCCAGGTTGCAGCATTAGGCAAATGGACCTTTGTGCTCTCTAACTAAAGTTGCTATCATAAACCTCAAGACACTCATGCCTGCCGGAATAGCTTTGCTGGTTAAGGAGGTTCTTCCTCTTTCATTGTTACAAAACAAAACTAAAACTAAAGAAGGGGGAAAAAACACAAAATTATGAAACCGCAAACACAGAACCTTCTAGCAATTTGATCAGCAGCGTCCCTGTATTTTCGAAATTAAAATGTATTACATTCAGAAGTTCTTTTGTGTAGTTAGGAACAGCTGTGTATAGTAGTGAGGTTCGGCAGCTTATTTTATTGTTGTTAAAAAAGATTCAGATCAGATTGTTATTTTTTTCTCTGAAGAAGTCGTATTATTCCTTGAAGGTCTTGTTTTCTTAAGAGCTTTCATTTCATGCTCAGAAAAGGAGCAGTGGGAAATTCATGGACCTTCAACACAGCCCGGTTTTAAATCTAATGAGAAAAAGATCCATTAAGCATGATTTACCTCTTTTCTCCAGAATTTCAGAGTGTGTTTACAATTCTCACTTGCATCTGAATTGTCCATTTCTAAGGAACTGATTAGTGCTTGAAGATAGGAACTGAACATTGGTTTTGGGGAACAAAAAAAAGAAATCTGAGCCAGATCACAGATGGAGAAAAAAACATAGAATCTAAAGACTTTGTTCTAAAATAAGATACAGCAAAGTCATATGCCATTCTTAGACATGATAAGAGGACAGGGCCAAAGTACCTTCGTCTGGATAAGCATAGATAATTTTTTTTTTTCCCCCTGCTTAAGCTATGAGGAAAGCTTATTATACACTTTTGGGAAATCTTATGGGAGTAATCACAATTGGCAGCAATTGCTTTTATTTTTATTTTTTAAAGAAAGGAAAGCATTTTAAGCATCAAATGTAATTTCACTGAAGTAGTCTTTCTAGGATGTATGAAATACTGATTTTTTTAGGTTTGGAGATTTCTTGTGTAGACATTTGTCTACAGACCAGGTGAGGTGGAGATATCACACTAGAGAATTTCCCTAATGGGGCCCATGCCCCGAGCATAGGTCAGGTCACTGAATGTCAGAGCTATCTGATATCCTTGGTCACCCAGAGGCTTGTGACTTCCTGAGGCTCAAGGTCCCTGACCCTCAAGGTCCCTGATCAAGGGAAGATCGGGAAGTCACCAGGACCATTAGAAGGGTCTAGTCCTAGAGAAAGAAGGTCCAGAGCCTTTCTGGGGAGGCTCAAGAGTGAGAGATTAATAACACAGGCTGTGAAGATTGGCCCATGGGCAAGTCCCATGTCTCCCTTTTACTTCTGAGTAATATTAGACCAGTGATAAAACCTTTGTTTCCACATTTATATTGGAATAATAATGATAATAATATATGTCTTGCATTGTTGTTGGAAGGATTAATAGATGGAGGTGCATCTTGTATGAAGTAAGTATTTAATAAAACAAGACTGTAGTCCTTGAAGACGTTTGAGGAACATCTGCATACCAGGTCTTCTTTGAGAGAATTATAATATACTCGTGGTAATTGTAGTCAAGATGTCATACAATAAAATTTTGTTAATTATGCTCTATAAAAATACTGAAAACATTGAATTAGCTAATAATGAGCCATTGCTTCAAGGGGAAATATGAGAGGGCTTCAAAAAATCCATGGAAGAATTCCATTTTATTTTAATTCCATTTTTACAAGAACTTTTTTGAAGACCCCTCCTACAAGTTTAGGCTCCTATAAGACTTTGGTCCCACAACTTTGTTTTATGTTTGTTTCTGTTTAAAGACACGTTATTTAATTTCTTGTTGTTGTTAAGTCCCCTCAAGTCAGTTCCAACTCATAGGCACCCTCTATAGGGTTTCTGAGGAGAGTCTGGTGAGCTTGAACTTCCAACCTTGTGGTTCATGCAATTAATTCATTAACATTGAATTCATAAAGCCAACAGCTTTATGAGGGGGATTCAAAAAGTTCATGGGAAAATGCCATTATGTTTCAAATTTATTTTTTATGAACTTTTTGAAGTCCTCTATCTTAGGCTGGGTTCTCTAGAGAAGCATAGATAGATAGATGATAGATAGATAGATAGATAGATAGATAGATAGATAGATAGATAGATAGATAGATAGATAGATAGATAGATAGATAGATAGACAGAGTTTACATCAAGGAAATGGCTAACACATTTGTAGAGATGAGTAAGTCCCAAGTCTGTGGGTCAGATGACAGGCAGGCAGGTTGGACAAGTAAGATGGTAGACTGCTGATGCTGCTCTGGATTGGCAGGCAATAGAGCAGACCATGGTTCTAGTCCAATGAACCAGATGAGGATCTCGACCCAGCAGAGAACAAGCAAGCAAACATTGTTCAAGTATCAAATATATTGAAAGCAGGGTTTCCCCAAGGAAGCTTCCTTTCAACTGATTAGCTGCTCAGAGCAGATCTCCTCATGGAAGTGATTACATTATATGAGATCTCATCATGGGGGATGACTATATCTTGACTGTCAAACCACTTAGAATTCTGGCCCAGTCAATTTGACACAAAACCTTACTCACCATATATATATAACTCATGCCAGGAGGAAGCTTATTTAGCACACATATATTCTCTGTAAGGTACACCATAGCTTTCTTGTGTTTAGGAACACTAGGCAGCACTTCAGTGCTACCCTTGGGGACCATTTTAAATAGCAAAGTCACCAACAAATAGCCCCAAACTGCAAAAAGCATGTGCTATGGGATAATGCACTAGACTGTAAAGTTGTTTGAACAGCAGGGTCGGCAGTTCAAACTTACCAGCCACTCATTGAACACGACTCACTGACTTGATGGCACTTAACAACAACAACAAATGGACTGTGAAAAGGACACTTGTTTAGAGTGTGAGAACTGAAATAAGAAGGATGACATCACTTTGTTTGGCCTCAGCTGCACGGACATGTTAATTTTTCACCACTGTGCACCACACCAAAAACCCACTGCCAGCTAGTTGATGTCAACTCATAATAACCCGATAGGCCAGAGGAGAACTGTTCCATGTTGTTGTTAGGTGCCATTGAGTCAGCACCAACTCATAGCGACCTTTTGCAGAGCAGAACAAAACACTGCCCAATCCTGGGCCAAACTCATTGGTGTTGCCACACTTGAGCCCATTGAGGCTGCCACTTGGGCAATCCATCTCACTGGGGGTTTTCCTCTTTTTCTGTGACCCTCCACCTTACCAAACATGATATCCTTCTCCAGTGACTGCTCCCTCCTGACAATATGTCTGAAGTATGAGAGACGAAGTTTGGCAACATACACATATATGTGTACATAGTTTCAATGCTTGCAATAAGACAATTTTTTCTTATGTTATTGGTGCCTCTTGGAATCATAGAACTATTGATGTAAGACTAATTAAATAGGTGATTCATTATGCAAACAAAATATTGGATCCCAGTGTTTAGTCAACATAAAGAAATGTAAAATATTTACGTACCTAAACAGTAATACTTGCTGGAATTGTTGATGGTAGGCTGGTCTTTGTAGATCGAAGAAGCTGAGGAATGAAGCGGCAGAAGGAGGAACAGAGGAGCCACCAAAATGGTTTTCCAGTGGAACTTCATCGCAGAGTTTTGAACCAGAGGAGGCCACACTTCCTAGTGAAGGAATGCTGAAGCTGAGAGCAGACAATTGGTTGGTATTTCTTCCCGTCTCATATAAATATGTTTCAGTGAGTGTGAAAAGAAAAAAGACACACACAAACACACAGACCCTACTCTTTACTATTTCAGGACCTTAAGAGAGGGCCACACAGGCAGATAGGAGGCGAGGGAGGCAATGGTTTGCAGTTCTTCTAAGTTAAATTTGCCAGCAAAGGGGGAAAACCCAGGTTGCAGCATTAGGCAAATGGACCTTTGTGCTCTCTAACTAAAGTTGCTATCATAAACCTCAAGACACTCATGCCTGCCGGAATAGCTTTGCTGGTTAAGGAGGTTCTTCCTCTTTCATTGTTACAAAACAAAACTAAAACTAAAGAAGGGGGAAAAAAACACAAAATTATGAAACCGCAAACACAGAACCTTCTAGCAATTTGATCAGCAGCGTCCCTGTATTTTCGAAATTAAAATGTATTACATTCAGAAGTTCTTTTGTGTAGTTAGGAACAGCTGTGTATAGTAGTGAGGTTCGGCAGCTTATTTTATTGTTGTTAAAAAAGATTCAGATCAGATTGTTATTTTTTTCTCTGAAGAAGTCGTATTATTCCTTGAAGGTCTTGTTTTCTTAAGAGCTTTCATTTCATGCTCAGAAAAGGAGCAGTGGGAAATTCATGGACCTTCAACACAGCCCGGTTTTAAATCTAATGAGAAAAAGATCCATTAAGCATGATTTACCTCTTTTCTCCAGAATTTCAGAGTGTGTTTACAATTCTCACTTGCATCTGAATTGTCCATTTCTAAGGAACTGATTAGTGCTTGAAGATAGGAACTGAACATTGGTTTTGGGGAACAAAAAAAAGAAATCTGAGCCAGATCACAGATGGAGAAAAAAACATAGAATCTAAAGACTTTGTTCTAAAATAAGATACAGCAAAGTCATATGCCATTCTTAGACATGATAAGAGGACAGGGCCAAAGTACCTTCGTCTGGATAAGCATAGATAATTTTTTTTTTTCCCCCTGCTTAAGCTATGAGGAAAGCTTATTATACACTTTTGGGAAATCTTATGGGAGTAATCACAATTGGCAGCAATTGCTTTTATTTTTATTTTTTAAAGAAAGGAAAGCATTTTAAGCATCAAATGTAATTTCACTGAAGTAGTCTTTCTAGGATGTATGAAATACTGATTTTTTTAGGTTTGGAGATTTCTTGTGTAGACATTTGTCTACAGACCAGGTGAGGTGGAGATATCACACTAGAGAATTTCCCTAATGGGGCCCATGCCCCGAGCATAGGTCAGGTCACTGAATGTCAGAGCTATCTGATATCCTTGGTCACCCAGAGGCTTGTGACTTCCTGAGGCTCAAGGTCCCTGACCCTCAAGGTCCCTGATCAAGGGAAGATCGGGAAGTCACCAGGACCATTAGAAGGGTCTAGTCCTAGAGAAAGAAGGTCCAGAGCCTTTCTGGGGAGGCTCAAGAGTGAGAGATTAATAACACAGGCTGTGAAGATTGGCCCATGGGCAAGTCCCATGTCTCCCTTTTACTTCTGAGTAATATTAGACCAGTGATAAAACCTTTGTTTCCACATTTATATTGGAATAATAATGATAATAATATATGTCTTGCATTGTTGTTGGAAGGATTAATAGATGGAGGTGCATCTTGTATGAAGTAAGTATTTAATAAAACAAGACTGTAGTCCTTGAAGACGTTTGAGGAACATCTGCATACCAGGTCTTCTTTGAGAGAATTATAATATACTCGTGGTAATTGTAGTCAAGATGTCATACAATAAAATTTTGTTAATTATGCTCTATAAAAATACTGAAAACATTGAATTAGCTAATAATGAACCATTGCTTCAAGGGGAAATATGAGAGGGCTTCAAAAAATCCATGGAAGAATTCCATTTTCTTTTAATTCCATTTTTACAAGAACTTTTTTGAAGACCCCTCCTACAAGTTTAGGCTCCTATAAGACTTTGGTCCCACAACTTTGTTTTATGTTTGTTTCTGTTTAAAGACACGTTATTTAATTTCTTGTTGTTGTTAAGTC